ACGTGGGAGCAATTGGCAGTGCCTCCTCCCATTACCCTAGTAAGGTTTTGAAACAATTGCTTGGGGGCATGTGGACCTGGTCTCCCTAAGCAGCTCGGGGGAGTTCTGACTTGTTGGATAGGGTGAAGGCACAATCTGTTCTTGGTCCCGGGAGGACATGTCCTGGGTTAGCAAATAGCCCTGTGCCTAAGAATTCCTTCAGATATCCCTCCTGTCTCTTCACTCAGAGGCAAATGGTTCCTTCCTAAGAAATCTTTTGCCCTTCATCAAATCAGATTGTCTGCTCATATACCAGTGCTGATCCCACACCTCACTTTTCTCCCATCTCAGCTCTGGCATTTTCTACATGTTGGGGGACACTAGGGAATCAAGCACCCGCCATTTCTGATTGCACATTGGAATCACCTGGGGAGCTTTTACAACCCAAGGATGCTAAGTCCCACCCCAGAGATTCCAATTTAGTTGTTCTGGGGTGGGGCATAGGGCATCAGTGATTTTGAAAGCTTCCCATGTGATTCTTCTGTGCAGCACTACTGAGAATCTCTGGGTCCAAAGCCTTGCTACCTACAAGGTAGATAAGAAATTCAGAAATCTCAGCATCCCCTTTCCAACTCACTGAATCAGAATCTGAATTTCAACAAGATCTTCCTGTCATTCAGTCACACACTGAAGTCTGAGAAGCATGGATCTCAGCATATCGTTCTGCCTCACCCATGCTTGTTGCCCTGGCCTGCATCACAGCCTCCACAAGTTCTCAAGCTGGGGCAGTGGCTTGCAGAAGTTTTTGACTGTGACCTACAGAAAGAAATAGATTGCATATCAAGACATAGCATGCACAATGAAACAAAATGTCGCAATACCTTTACTCCCTGTGATGCACTCTCATTCATTCAATAGATATTGTTGGCACCTACTTTGTGCTAGGCATTGTTCTAGTGCCTCTGCCAGTCTGTTCTCAGACAAAAATCCCCATCTTTGTGAAGTTTACATTCTGTATGGGGGGGGGGTGTGGTTAGAAAGTTAAAAATCATTAATATGAAGCTATGGGGGTTCAGAACTGACCACCCCAAGATGTGCCTTCATTATACGCAGATTATTTTGAACTAAAGGCAATTTTAGTTTCAGCCTCGAGAAACTCCAGCAGGGCAAACTTCCTTTTACTAAAAAGTCTGTTGTTCTTGTCCTGCAATGACCCTTTGAAGTCCCTAAGGTACGTTACTTCATCCCTAGCTTGGGATGTCCTATATACATCAACCCCCCTTCTGTTTCTGAACCTCTCCTGCACATGGGGACTCTGACTCTCATGTATATAGGGTTCCCATACGTATGTATGCATTAAATTTGGTTATTTTCTCTTGCTCATCTGTCTCATGTCTGTTTGATTATTAGAGCAGCCAAAAGAACCTTGGGGGTAGAGGAAAGTTTGTTCCTCCCCAACACAGGGCATGTCAGAAGATTAATATAATAAAATCTAGGGAGGTGGGGGACTTTCCGATGCTGGTTCTGTTTCTTGATTTGGGTGCTGGATATACACACTTTGTAAAATTTGCATATTTTTGCACTTCTCTGGATGTATGTTATACTTCAATAAAAAGTTCAAAAAATATAGTCTGATATTTTCTACTCTATTGTCCTCTTTCATTAAAAAATAAGCCAGTCAAAGCTCACTAAATTAAGTTCCCCTCCTATTAATATGTTGCAATAGTCGTTTAAAAAATACAGTTCTATTTTAGAAGACAAAACAGAACAAAAATACCTTCAGCTCAAGCACTCAGCAGCATCCACCATTCTTGGCTAAGCACCTGCCTCAAATATGAGTCAGGCTGCAGTCACCACCCTAAGTTGCCTTCCCTGCCTTCCCTGCAGTGCAACCATCTCACAGTGGAGATTCTTAAGGGCACCATCATAAGCCTCTGCTTAGGACTAGATCCGACAAGCCCTTCTCCCTGCAGAGTCATGCTGCTGTGGGCAGCTCTCCTTAAATTCCAAATCTGGGAGGAGACTGGCACAGGCACGTTAGAGGTTTGGAGTTATTCCTACAGCCACCTCCTGAATCTTGTGAGTTATGCTTCTAGACTGTCATTTGCTCCGTTATGTTGAAAGCTTCCTGAGGGCTGGTACTGGAGTCACAGAACAGTGCAGAGAAAAAAACAGCCTCAGCGGTATCTCCCAGCAAAGCTCCAGTGATCAGTATGGTGGTTGGTGGGGACAGTCCAGGAGCTGAGACTAGGCCGGATGGGGAAACAGCAGAAGGCCTCTTTTCTGTGAGACTAAAGCTCAAGATAACTCTACACTTAGGATGCATTTGGCTCTTGAGAGTAACAGGAGGAGGAGTGGGAGAATGGGGAGCTGGGTTCCTCTAGTGAATCACCTATCAGGACTGACCAGAAAGCACATACTTTGATCTCTTGCTTCGTTTGATTTGGAGCTTGATTCACCTGCAGAGAAGCTTGCTCCAAATCAGTTGTTTGCATCTTTGGACCCCTAAAAATCTAGTTAGAACTAATGCTTCCCAAAGTGAGGCTCCTGGGTTTGGTGTTGCTTTGTTGTGTCTTAGTGGTTCAGAACAGACTTTGGAGTCAGAAAACTGGATTTGAATCCTGGTGTCACTAGAATCAGCTGAATAACCCTGAGCAAGTTACTTACCCATGTAGAGTCTCAGTTTTGCCATTTGTAAAATGGGGATGATAATGTATACCTCTTTGGGCTGTGGTAGGAGTTGGATGTGCATAAATGCCAAGTGCAGGGCCTTACCCATAGGAAGGTTCCCAAAACCTTAGCAAGTGTCATTACTGAGGTAGCGTGAGGGAGGTTGGGGAGAGGACCCCTCAGATTCCTTCCCCCTGACTTTTTCCCTGAGGTTAGGCAACAAGGGAAAAGACCTTAGCCTGACTGCCCACCGGTGGGGTCAGGAGTCCTTCCTATCCTAAACCCTCTACTGCCCCAGGGGGGTACATTCACCTCCTGCTCAGCAGCCCTGGCTCCATGGGAAAGGGCAGCTGTTATATACATACACTGCTATGAAATGATTTAGTAGAAAGTTACTCTGCCCACCTCACAGGATTAGAGAAGCAATCAGCCAAATCCATCCAGTCCAGCCCCGCCCCCTTCCCCATAGGTGTCTGAAACACCTGGCCTTCTCTTTGCCTTACTGTTATCTAGCCAGTGGGAGTGTAGAAAGAGCCATCCTTACACACTTCTTTGATGCCTGATTTTGGAGACAGCGAGTAGCAGGGCCAACGGGCTCTACGCCTCTGGATTCTAAACTCATCCCAAGGCTGTCTCCAGAGTGCAGGCTGCATTATCACTGGGAGGAGCTCTAAGTTTTCTCCTCTGGAGGGGTACAGGGAGAAGAGGGTCCAAGAGGGAGTAGTGTAGGAGGGAAGAAGGTCCCCCCCCCCCCGCGCTTTTTGGCCTGGGGCTCGTTCTGCCTGTATTCGAAGCAGGAAGGAAGGGTCTCTGGCCTAGGCTGAGAGAGCTCTCCCTTGTTGAAGTACACATGAATACCCTTTAGGAAAGGGTGAGGTGGGCCCAGGTTTAGTACTAAAATCCCTCTCTGCAGTCAAACATTCACTAGTGACCTTGTAAATCTTGTAATCCAACCTCTTTTTAAGGATTTTATTTACTTTTAGACAGAAGGGAAGGAAGGGAGAGAAACATCTATCTGTTGCTGTTCATACCCCTCGAACTCGGGACCCGGCGTGCAACCCGGGCAAGTGTCCTAACCCGGAATGAAGCTGGATCGCAGGCTGGCGCTCAATCCACTGAACAACCTCCTCATTTTACAAACGAAGCAAACTTAGCCAGGTGGAAGTGACTTTTTACACTGTCCCATGGTAAGTCAGCACAGCTGAACTGCTACTTAGAATGCAAGACTCGTATTTCAGTGCTCCGCTACTGGGTGTGGTTGACTACACCTTCTCAGTGTGGACGCCCTACCTTAGGCTGCACCTCCCTTTCCTTTTTTGGCATCACAGGAAGGCGCCAGCAAAGCCTGAAGGAGGAGGCTGAGGTGAAATGAAATAGGGGAAGTCGTAGGGGGACCAAAAAGAGATCAGAGGGAGGAGTGAGCGGGACGGGGCCCTTTAAGAGGGCGGGCTGGCCCCGCCTCCCCGCCCCCTTTCCGGCAGCGCAGGCGCAGGTGGGCTCCAGGAACTCAGGCGGGAGGGCTGGCGCTCCAGGCTTGCTGGCCGGCGCGCGGGGCCGCAGCACCTGCGGGGGCCGGCGTAGGGCGCGGCGCCCATTGGGCGGACGTCGACGCCGGAGGAGAGGGTGGGGAGGCGTGCGGGGGAAGTTGGGTGGGTCAGGGAGTCGGAGGGACGTGACCCCGCAGCCCTCTTCCCGGGGGAGGGGAGCGGTCGGAGCCGGGCGGGGGGCGGTGTGAGCGAGCGCCGAGGGCAGCACCATCTGGAGAGGCGGGACCGCGCGGCCTCTGGGGGGCAAGCGGGTGCGCTGGGCTGTGTGGGCGGGGGACCCCCAGCGGTTCGCCGAGGAGGAGCGGGGCGGGTTTAGCCCCGCGCTGCCGGAGCAGCAGCCTCACCGGGTCGGGGTTCTCAGCTGGGGCCCGCAGCATCTCCGCGGGCTGAAGCTCGGCGTGGAGGAGCAGGGGGGCGTGGGTCCGGCAGTTCAGGAGGAGGGCGGGGTGGGCCCGGGGGTGCAGGAGCGGGGCGGCCGCGGCCGAGAGCCCAGCCTGGGGGTGGTGTGGGGGACGCCGGACGGCGCGGACTGGAGGCGCTTGCCGCTGTGGACGGGCTCGGGGAGCTGGCCTGTGGTGCAGGAGGAGGGGCTGGGGGCCCGCAAGCAGCACCAGGAGAAGGGAAGCAGCCTCGCAGTGCAGGAGCGTGGGGAGGTCCGCGCCGGGGTGCAGGAACGGGGGGAGGGGAGCCCACGCCGGCTGCTGCAGCAGTTCGAATTCGGGGAGCGCGGGAAGGGCCTCGAAAGTTCCGGGGAGCAGGGAGGGCAGTACTGGGAAAGCTGCAGGCACCTCAGACGGGAGGCGGTGGTTCTAGGAGAGGCCCCGGCTCGCCGAGGGAGACTCGAGCTGGTCGGGAGGGCACGGCCTGTCGGGCCCCAGGGTCCCGAGGGGGAGGGGCGCCTGGGGGTGCAGGAAGCAAATTGGCTGCCCGGGGTGCAGGAGGGACAGGTGGTGCGGGCTGTCCAGGAAACATTCCTAGACGAGAAGGGGTCCCAGGAGGGAGAGAGACCCCTTGAGGGGCACAGGATCCGGAGGCGCCGGCGGCGGAGGAGGTGGTAACCCCACAGGCTGGCAGCCCAGCACCAGGATCCCTCCAGGGCTGAAGCGAACGCAAGATGTTGGGGTTTGGAGAGTGGGGAGCAGAAGAGCACTGACAGCGGCTGTGTCCTGCTGGATCCTCTTCTGCCACCCCAGCCTGGACATAATCGAAGCTGTGTCTGCAGAAAGACAGCAGAAGGTAGGGAAGTCCATTTCTGCTCTCATCTGGAATTGGTGTGTTGGAAGCAGGGTTAGGGGTGCAGTTATCTGACGTGCGGGTGCTCTCCAAACTGCCCTTTTTCACTCTTGTGTTTAAACCAGGGGAGGAAGGAAGCGGTGCCGTTTTCAACAGCGAAGCGAGACTTCCCCCAGTGCTGTATATGCCAACTAGAGTGATGGGGCATTTCCTTAGAGTCTAGACTGGAGGTGAGATTGGGTGGCTGCCAGGCCTGAGCAGAAGGACGAGAGGGGTAGCCCCAGGCCGAGGTTGTAGAGGAGGTAGTCATCCCTGTACCTGTGGAGACAGGGGTGTCTTTTTGCCATAGCTGGGGTGGTGCAATCAGCATAGGTGGTTGTCTCCATTCCAAAGAGGGAAGGGGGCAACATTGTGTTAACAAAGCCTTATCTTGCAACCTTGTTGCTCACGTGAGCTGAGGCAGCCAGTGACTTGGGCACAAGCCTGACCTGCTCCTGTCACACCTTCTTGTCACAGCTGATTAATATTGAGGGCTCAGAGCCAAGGATGAATAGTGGGCAGAATGATAGAGAGCTCCTGGGTAGGTTTTCTGTCTCTGGTCTGTCAGGACCCTGGCCTGAAAGGGGTGGGAGAGGACAGGGTATCTACACCATTGGACTGTGGGCATCCTTTTTGGGCCAGACCTCAGCTTCACCCTGTGGAGGTGGACAGATGGGCAGCACTGGGCATCGTGGGTTCTGTACCCATGGGTCCTCCTGGGTCTGCTCACCTCTTAATCTGGTACTGTCTGGTTATTGCTTCCCTAGTCCTTGGGGCCAGAGTGGGGAGTGGGGACAGCTTGCAGAATTGCTGCCTGCCTCGGGGCCTTACTGGGACCCATCTCTGTGCTATCCCAAGGTGTGGCTCAAAGTCACATGGCCCCCTGAACCCTGTCTGAAGCAGATAGGGTGGAGATAGTTGGAACCAGAGGAGTAGTGGTGGTTCCCTAGGCAGACAGCTGCTGGGACTGGGCTGGAGGAGCCGGTTCGCCTACCCCTGAGTCAAACCCAAACCTGTCTGTCAGCTTCATTCCCCACCTGCCTGTCTCACTGCCATCCCAAACATTCATACACCTGAAGTTCACGTGCTGTGTCCATTGTGCCTAGCTTTTCTGGGATAGCCAGACTGGTTCTGTCTCTGGCTTCAGTGCAGAAAAATTGTCTGTTCTAAACATGTACACACAAGCACACACCTTTACCCTATTTCATGTTGACATTTTTCAATTTGTTGGTTGCTGAAGATGAGGAGAAAGACTGCCAAATCTGGGTTTAGATTACTTATTAGCTATGTAACTCCTGGGGCAAGGTAACATCTCTGGGCTTCAGTTTCCTTGTTTGTGTCGTGGGCCATGCCTTTCCCTACTGTGTCCTGAGTGCAGAGGGCTCAGACCAGTCTGGTGCCCACCTCCCCAGGAGCCCTCTCTGGCAGGTTTTGGGGAAGAGGGGCCAGTGCTCCCAGATGTCTTACTTTGGCTCCTAAGCCCACAATTACCCCCCTGCCTTATGCTTTATTCTGGAACATGAAGTGCTTTTTTGTTTGTTTTTAGTAATAGTTTTATAGAGGTATAATGACATTTGGTAAATGGAACATACTTAAAACATAATTTAATATTTTAAGGATTTTATTTATTTACTTTTAGAAAGAGAGGGAGGGAGGGAGAGAAATAGCAGTGTGCGAGAGACATGTGGATCCGTTCGTTGCCTCTTGCACACCCCCAACCAGGGACCTGGCCCAGAACCCAGGCATGTGCCCTGACCTGACCAGGAATCGACCCGGTGACGTTTTGGCTCATAGGGCAGCACTCAATCCACTGAACCACACCAACCAAGGCTAATGTTTTAATATATGTCTCTACCCATGAAACTACCACCACAATCAAGATAATGAACATACTCATTATTCCCAAACCTCCAAAAGTTTTTTGGGGCCCCTCTCCAATCCCTTCATTTTACCCCACTTTTGCCATCACTGCTTCTCCAGGTAACAGACTGGTTTGCTTTCTGTCACCATATTAGTTCATAGTACCTAGAATTTTATGTACATGGAACCACATAGTATGTGCTCTTTTCTTCTGCTCGGCTTTTTTCACTCACCATAATTATTTTGAGATTCATTCATGTTGTTGCAGGTATTAGTAGCTTGTTGCTTTTTATTGCTGAATAGTATTCCATTGTGTTTATATACCGCTGTCTGTTTATTCATTCACCTTTTGATGGGTTGTTTTCAGTTTTTGGTTACTACAAATAAAACTATGGACATTTGTTGAAGTCTTTGTATGGACAACTGCTTTTTATTTCTCTTGGATAAATCCTTAGGACTGGAATGGTCGGATCATATGGTAGCTGTACATTTAACTTAAGAAACTCCCAGACTGTTTTCCATTTTATGTACTCGCCTATTGTGTGTGAAAGTTCTAGTTTGTCCACTTCTTTGTCAACACTTATTGTAATTAGTCCCTTTAATTTGAGACATTCTAATATTTATATGTATGTATGTGTGCATTGTACTTTTAATGTCATGTTGAAGAAATCTTTGCCTAACCCAAAGCACTGTGGTTTTCTTCTAAAAGTTTGATAGTTATGGGTTTTACATTTAGTTCTCCCATCCGTTTGGGGTTAATTCTTGTATATGGTACAAATTATGAGTTGAAGTTGAGTTTTTTAATGCAGAGATTCAAGTTGTTTGAGCACCAGTTGTTGCAAAGACTTGTCTCTCTATGGAATTGCCTTTACACCTTTGTGAAAAGTCAGTTGTCTAATTATGTGTAGATCTAATTCTGGACTTTGTTTTGTTCCATTGGTGTATTTATCTTTTTTTCATCACATTATCTTGATCACTATAGCTTTGTAGTAAGTCTTGAAATCAGGGTAAGATCTTGAACTTTGTTCTTACTTTTCAAAATTGCTTCAGTTATTCTAGGTTCTTTGCTTTCCATATGCATTTTAGAATCAATTTATTAATTTCTACAAAAAAAAAAAACCCTGCTGGTATTTTGATTGGGATTGCATTGAATCTATAGATCAGTTAGGGGAGAACTGGCATCTTAGCAGCATTGAACCTTCTGACCCATGAACAATGTAGATCTCTGTATTTATTTAGATTTTTAAGAATTTCACTAATGGTTTATAGTTTACAGTATATAGATCTTTCACGTCTGTTGTTGGATATATCCTTAAGCATTCACATATTTTTTTCAGTGCTATTGTAAAGGGTATTTTTATGGTATTTGTTTTTTATTTTTTTTAATTGATTTTATTTATTTTTAGAGAGGGGAGAAGGGAGGGAGAAAGAAAGGGAGAGAAACATCAGTGTGTGGTTGCCTCTCACATGCCCCCAGCTCGTGACCTGGCCTGCAACCCAGGCATGTGACTGGGAATTGAACCTGTGACCTTTCACTTCACAGGCAAGCATTCAATCCACTGAGCCACACCACCAGGGCTGTTTCTTTTTTAATTTTTAAAAATTCTATTTATCTTAATTGTGGTGAAATATACATAACATAAAATTTACTATTTTAACCATCTTTAAGTGTATAGTTCAGTATTGTTAGGCACGTTCATATTGTTGTACAGTCATCATCACCATTCATTTTCAGAACTTTCATCTTGCGAAACTAGAACTCTGTACCTATTAAACAGTAACTCCCCATTCCTTCTTCCATCCCAGCCCCTGGCAGCCAACAGTCTACTTCCTGTCTGTGTGAATTTGACTACTCTGAATGTCTCATAGATGTAAAATCATACAGTACTTATTCTTTTTGTCACTTCTTTTCTCTTACCATGATGTGTTCAGGCTTCATCCGTATTGTAGCATGTGCCAGAATTTCCTTCTTTTTAAGGTTGAATAATACATTGTATTAATGTGCTTCAGTGATGCTGCTGTAAGGTGGTAGTGTTAAGGTGGTAGTGTTACTTTTTAAAATTTCAGTTTCCAGCTGTTTGTTGCTAGTATATATAAATACAATTGATTTTTGTACAGGGAGTGAGCCCCCCCCAAAACTGGAATTCTGGAGGGTGGGCCCCTTGTAGTACAGCCTACTCCTGAGTGTTCTAGGAGCCCATCTATATCAGTCTACCAGCTCGCATTGTTGACAGAGGCTCTGTTTGGCGTCAGTGGAATTTTTTTGAAGACTCAACACCTTTGCCCATTTCATGATGGATGGTTTACCAGCGCACCTGCCTATACCACATTGTGTATTCAGCAACTTTTGACCCAAAATGGCATGACCCCTGTGCCCCACTCTCCCTATTCACTTGATATCGCCCCAAGTGACCTTTTTTGTTTGTTTGTTTGTTTGTTTCCCCTGATGAAAAAAGTCCTGAAAGGGAAATGTGTTGCGGAAGAGGTGAAACAAAAAACAGCAGGAGCACTAAAAGGCATCCAAATCAATGAGTTCAGAAACTGTTTTGAGTAGTGGGAAAAAAGTGTTGATAGGTGTGTTGCATCAAGTGGAGAGTACTTTGAAAGCAACTGAAGTTTAAACATGTAAGAATAAATACAGTTTTTTAATAAATAAATTCCAGGGTTTTTTTTTTCCTGGAATTTCCTCCAGGATATTGCATATCAACAATATTGTATACTGCCCCTCCTTGTATATTTACACTGAATTCTGCCACCTTGCTAAACTGCCTTATTCTTACAGCTTTTTTGTAGCTTCCATTGAATTTTATACATAGACTGTCATGTCATCTGCTAATACAGATAGTTTTACTTCTTCCTTTCTGATCTTTATGCTTGTTATTTCTTTTTCTTGCCTGATTGCATGGTCTATATTCTCTGATGTAATGTTGAACAGAACATTAGATTCCTTGTTTCTGATTTTCAGGGGAAAGCGTATAGTCTTTCACTATTATGCATCATGTCAGCTGTCATTTTTTCATATATGAGCTTGATTAGGTGACAAAGCTCCCTTCTATTCCTACTCATCTGAGATTTTTAATAGGAATGGATGTTGGATTTTGTCAAATGCTTTTTTGTTTATCAAAATCATAAAATTTTGCTTTATTTTTTTAATACGTTGAATTACATTGATTTTTAAATGTTAAAGCAACCTCACATTCCTGAGACAAACTCCACTTGGTCATGATGTATTATCATATATATGTTATATATGTGTGTGTGTATATATATAATATTTGAATTCTGTTAGCTAAAGAATTTGTTAAGAATATTTGCATCTATGTTTATGAGG